ATGTTGGCCAACATGCGCTACAGGAACCAATCGGCTTACCAGCCGTTACATTAGGACTTGTTTGCAAGATAGCACGTAGGATAGATACAATCTCGACGGGCGTGGAATTTTGAAGTTTGGCAAGGAGTTTTACGAATTGGGCTTTGTGCGCGCCGAGACTTCGCTTGCGAGAGTGCAACTGATACTATAAACACAAGCCAACGATGGAAGGTGTTGTGGTCCGCCTCCTGGTGGTGTTTTTTGGTATGGTTTGAGTAGCCTGGGCATCTATTCTACTTGGGAAAGAGACGCCTAAGACTATATTTCGCGCGGAGAAAAGTTGAAAGATGATGGAGGCATGTCTGGATAACTCAGGGTTTTTGGGACGCTTCCCTGAGTGGGTATTCACGGATGACGGTTGACTTAGGGTGAAGAAAAAGCCACCATAACTTCGCAGTGGTACTTGCAAATGAAATCTGAGGCATGAGTGCTCCTCTTGTAAATTGAGTCATCTTTTCTGTACTTTCTTTGATATTGTGTCATAGCTAGATAGCTGCATACGCAATTAAAATCTGATGCAAAAAGAAAAAGAGCTCAATGGTATTTTTTTGCGTTCCAAGTGCTTTTTCAGCTTGGTATTCGTTTTGTCCATAATTCTTTTGTTGCGAATAAGTCGCGATGGTTTGGCAGGCCCCGGAGACATGTTGGAGATCTGGGGTTGTTGTTTGATATTTTTAGTCGCCTCTCATCTGTGGTAGATTTGGCGTTATGAATTGGGGGGAAGCTGTAGAGTTAGGGTCCGGCACGGTGTAAGGTTACAAGGCTGAATCGTCAGCCTCGTATACTTTTCTTATAGTGTACCATAGTCGTAGACAGAATGTACAACATCATCTTTATCCCAACGTACATTGTTATCTGATCAGATACCGAGGCACAGCCTATCCAACAGGGGTCTTTCTACTATGAGAAGTCGAATTAGTGTAAATGTATGCGAATCAAAGGGTGGGAGGTAATTATATGGTATCTCATCGATTTTCTCAAAGTTATTCAGGATTGGTGGCACTGATATAGTGTCATAGCTAAATAGCTGCATACATATTAAATAATTTTTAACAAAACCCCTCCTGTCTTGTCGACGGCAATTTCGCCTTTCTTAGTAAAAAAGACACTGACTCAGTGATGGAGGCCGAAAAGCGTCGCACGACGCAGATAAACGCCCGACTCGCAATCTGCTCGACTGCAATCAGCAGTGTCGAAGCAGCACTTTCGCCTCTTTCGATTGGCGATAATAAAGAATTTGTAGACGGAATCAAAGTCTATCTCCAAGCGGCCATCGGCCAGTTCGTACAATCTGGCCCAGTGAGCACATCACCAGTTCTCCCTGCTCGCCCCGTCAACCCTCTTCCGCCGAGGGCACCAGAAATAAGGGTTCCTAACCCTCCAACAACCCAGGCTCCGGCCCCGAAGACAACTTGGGCTACCATAGCTTGGGGAGGCCTAGCCCGCAGCGCTGGGCAGTCGACAAAAAAGGCAGCACCGCCCGCCCCCAAAGCAAAGAGTGCCAGCCCGAGGACAAAAGTCGATTCACGAATTTTTCTGCGCCTTGACTACTTCCACCCCCACCGTCTCCTCTCCCTAGCTGGCATTGGGTCAGCTGTATCTCTGGCGCTGGGAGCCGCTGCTAATGATATTACGTAGGTTCAGCGTAAAGACCGGCTTTGCTATTACAGCAAAGAACGAAGCTTCTCGAAAGGAGCTCTTGTATTCCTCTGCACTGCGAAGAGATCCAGAAATACACATGGAACCAGCATCAAATCTGGTTGCCATGCAAATTGCCACCGTCCCAGAGACAATTCGAACTCTTGCTGGCCCTATCGCCGTGACGGCAAGGATTGTTGCCGACGAAGTCACGCGAGTGACCCAGTTGGTTCCCTTTCTGGTTCGTCCTCATGGGACTAGCAAACCAGGGGCGCCCTATTCAAATTGGCAAGCGCTATTTCCACGAGAATCCGCTCCTCGACCTGGATTCCGCCTTTTCGACGACTCTGGAGCTGCAAAGCTCTTCCGACCTCGTCGCAAAATCGAACAATGCAAACGGTGTCTTGAATTTCACGCCACCCGTGGTTGTTCCCGCGCTCCAGCTTGCTAGAAATGCGGATCTAATATGTACTCAGAATCGGAGTGCAAGGCCCTCACCCGGTGTCGAAACTGTGGGGGACCTCACCGATCGGATTCCCGGGCCTGCTTAGCCAGACCCAGCAAGTCCGGACCGGTGACAAAAGAGCAGCTCGCGCGGATTCGCCAGATCCAGCAAAGGGAGTTCGCGAAAGTGGCTCGATTTAGGGCTGCAGCCAAAAGGGCCGAAGAGGCAACGATGGCCTCAACGAAGGATGTCTCGATGGCCGAGGGATCGGGTTTCTGAATCCTGGAATCCGAAGAAGAAGTCTGAGGGTACAGCAACCCTCGGTGAAGTCTACAAAAAGCTTCAATATATATAGCAGGATACCAGCTGGATTCAGGTTATCTGCGAACTAATCTTTCGCTCTTAGCAGAGATAAGAAAAAGTCACGTGGAAGATGTGGCAGGAAAGGGAACGGGCGAGAAGCGCGGGATCCGGATCAAACAGTATTTCTTCTAAATTTGATTTCAGTTTTTGATTTCAGTTTTTGATTTTAGTTTTGCTGTTAACTTCTACAATTTCAGTAGAAGTTCATGCAGTTGGAATGAGTTGGGCCTGTACGCAGTGATCCATGCCGGCTCCACCGGTTCTTGACCCAATGTGGAAAAGATAGCGTCAGCTTAGGACCAAAAGTACAAAAATTAAAATAAAAAAAGACACTGACTCAATCCCTGGCCTTGCTGATAAATGCCTAAAGCTCGGCTGTTCGTCGAATTAGTAAATATGTGTTGGAATTTCGCACCAGTTGCTTACTCTAGAGCTACACAATTGTCGGTGATGATCGGCAAGGCTGCTTAGGAGTAACTTGGCGCACAATTGCACTAGACTGAAATTGGTTTTAGCGTCAGACAAAGAACACGAGTAATATGTAGAAACCTAGATGTAGCATTCTTTAATATTCTGACCAAAAAAAAATAATATAACAATAAGAACGATTTACGTGAATAATTTATTTGATTGAACTACTACGAAGTACTTTGAAGCTGTGCCTATATTCTTTGAGTGAGTTTCCTCTTAGAACCCATACACACTTTACAACAATATGCAGGGGTGAAGGTTAGATATATATAGTTAAGCCCCTGTTAAGATGACGTAATCAGGGCCATGAAAAATATCGTCAAATAGAGGATATCACTGTAAAGGATATGATTATCTAATCCAGCTATCTAGGCTACTTTTTACTTTCAATGCCTCTTTTGTTCTCCCAATTGCCGTCTTTAATCGCTCTAATACTCTCAAGGTCAGGCCAGTTTTCAGCTCGCTATCGTAGCGCAGAAGTACTTGTAGCTTCGTTGAGTTTCGCAAAGGTCTTGCTCAAGGACTCGGAGACTGTGGACTGGCTTAATCGATGGCCGTACTCGGCTAAGAACCACTCAATGCACTGTTTTTGTGTTGGTTTTAGGACCTGGCGGTGCGCCCATCGTCGCAGAGTACATCGTTGCTCTAGAGAAATTTCTTTTTTTGGCGGCATTAATAGCACCAATCTAGCAAAAAACCCTGGTTAAGACGACATTGAGATGTTGAAGAACGATAATCGTGTAATCGGTAAATGTATGGGAACGAAGTCCGTTTCGTATAGAATATCGTCTTAACAGGGGTCTGACTGTATATTCATAATTCATTTTCCTGATTTGGCGCCTTGTGGCCCATACAGGTTTTATCGGAAGATAGGTACTTTAAGTAGGATGACTCAACTTGACATATAGAACACTCACACTCAGATTTCATTTGCAGATACCACTCGAGGTTAACCCTCACGGCGTATAACCTCTTCCGTGCATACCCACCACGGGGAAAAGCGTGAAAAACCTGTGGCTATCCGAGTGTACTTTCATCATCCTACTATTACAATATCACCGCAAGAGAGAGTGGTGTGTGGGTCTGACAGGATTCGAGCCAGCTTTCTCCTGTCCCATATGGGGTAGGTGTTCAAGCTACCCAGTATCTACTTGAGAGAACGTCTCGAATGGTGTATCACTGCACCATCCGACCCGGTTAACAGTCAGACCTGACCGAGTTGCACTGTGTTCTTCCATCCCTGCCTAGCTAACACGGTGAACTACCTTATAGAGTTTACGCAGGCAAGGCTGTCTTATCAGCCTTGTGCAATTAACTAGCTTGGACTTCGTACTTTCCTAAATTTATCCACAAAACGTCGGATAGTTTGGTACTCACAACATAAATCCTTGCATAAGATGTATACAAAGAGTATTCATCTTTATAGAAGAGTGAAGTTAATTTTCTGTCCAATTCGGCGAAGATTCACGCGTTTAACTGTACATGAGATGATTGGAGATAGTCGTTTGTATGGAGCATTGAGAATTTAAAACTAAGATGAAAACACGAGCCAGGCAGTACGCGCTCGCCCAACCCCTCGCTACACGATGTGGCCGGGAATTAGGAACTTCTAGATCAATATTTATGGCACGAAATGCGATATTTTGATGTAATACAAGTCATAATCGATGTGCATGTACTCATAGTTCAGTCTTAATCTCCCGGTTACTGGTTGCTCCATTAATCATCCTTAGTTAATCTAATCTTTCCTCATACAACACAGCCTTCTTACCACATTTATAGTTACATCCCATTAACACCCCATTTACATTTAAAACTACTCAACGAATTTCTACTCAGGCTTCCAAGCCTCCGAAGTTCTGGCTTAGTTTATAATTATCTATATCTAGAAAGTCTCAAGTAATCATAATAATATCCTGCACGATTATCCATAACAGCTTTGCAGCAGTAAACAATTTGCTCTTCGTTCACCGCGAAATATACCAACAGACCTAACAGCATACACTTTCTTTACTGACCGAATGAATTCACTGCTGCTTGCGGCATGACAAGAGGCTTCCCTTCACTGCTCTGGCAATTGCCTTTGCTGTTATCAACCTGTTCTTCTTTGCAGGCATTTTATATACCAGGTTGTCCCGTCATTTTATTTACTTGCAAGTTTTCTGATAAAAATCAGGCTGGTCGATCAAAAGCTATAAAGATAGTGAATCAATCCCTCTTCTTGTCAACAAAGTATACTCAGACAACACACAGTTACAATACGCCTATTATTCCCTTCCGTTCGTCTGTCCACCTTCTGGTAAAAACCATGCCGGAATATCTCTTCTCTCTGGCCAGTCAATACCCCTCAACCTGGGTGAAGTCTTGCGTGGCGATCGAATCCAACAATCTGACGTTGAACTCATCGCAAGAAGCGATAACGAATGTAGTTTCCTTTGCAACCGTACAATTTCCAGAACAGATCTAAAATATGCTCGGAAACTTGTTAAAGAGGGATATGTGGCTGAGTGGATAGTTGACAACCTTCCGGGAGCAACAAGTTTTGTAACCACCGACAAAAGCCGGAAATATTATGCACCAGGTTTCAAGCTAGGCTATACAGATTTGGATCCTACATCCGGAGAGATGAAATATTTCTTGAATAATCATTTGACTATCGTTATTAGATACAGGAAAAACCCTGGCAAAGATGCAGCCTCACATGGGAATTTAATCGTGGGATTTGAAGTCTATACTAAAAGCGTAACGAGTGAGAATCGGCGGGAAGATGGATGCCCAGCAAATCTAGCAGATCCAAGCTCTACGTTTGAGCTTGAAATCGCACCAAATAAATCTAATATTATATCACAGAATCCAAAATCTTCATATAACCCACCCGAAAACACAAATGATATCGATGATGGTGGCACACTCACTATACCTTACACATATTCGGTGTACTGGCTCGAGGATGAAAATATCAAATGGTCGCATCGCTGGGATCTATATTTTGTGAACCAGGAAGCAGGGGGGAGGGTTCACTGGCTAGCCATAATAAACAGCTTGATTATTTCGGGAATTTTGAGTTCTATCGTTGCTATGACGCTAGCAAAAGCCATCAGAGCGGATATCAAGATGTTCAGAGAAGTTTCGTCAAAAGATGTTGAGATAAGGTCCAAGCCACGAAGTAAAAATGATGCAAAAGCATGGAACCATGAAAAGAGTAATCTTCTTGAGCCAATTGGTGATGAGGGCAACGATGCAGATGTTTCATCTGATGAAGAATTTCTAGATGATCAATCTGGATGGAAATTGCTCGCTGGTGATATATTTCGCCCGCCTTTATATGGTACACTTCTCGCACCTCTTGTTGGCTCTGGAATGCAACTTGTATTTATGGCTGTCGGACTTCTGTTCCTCAGTAGCCTAGGTATTCTGAATCCGTCCTTCCGTGGTGGCTTTATTTCGGCAGGGGTCGGTCTTTTCATCTTCGCCGGTATCTTCTCTGGTTACTTTTCGAGCCGTGTTTATAAATCTTGTGGTGGATCTCACTGGCGCAAGAACACACTTTTAACCGCTTTACTCTTTCCAGGTCTTCTATTCACTCTCGTATTTATACTCAATCTCTTCGTTTGGGCACAGGCTTCCTCGACTGCGCTACCGTTCGGAACACTCATATCAATCATTCTACTCTGGCTCTGTGTGCAAGTACCGCTAGTCTACGTCGGTTCCTGGTGGGGTTACGAACGCGCTAGTGCCTGGGAACATCCGACTAAGTGTAGCTCCATCGCTCGTTCCATTCCGGCCCAGCCATGGTACCTGAGAAACCCACAAGCTACTTTGATAAGTGGCGTTATTCCATTTGGTATCATATTCATCGAACTCTTATTTGTTTTTCAATCAGTATGGCAGGATAAATCTGGCTACTACTATATCTTCGGGTTTTTGTCGATGATGAGCTTCATCTTGATTGTTACGGTTGCAGAGGTGACTGTTGTCAGTATCTACTTTCGGCTTTGCTGGGAGGATTACAACTGGTGGTGGAACTCTTTCGCAGTAGGTAGCAGCAGCAGTATTTGGGTCTTTGCCTACAGCATCTGGTACTATTATAATAAATTACATATTGAGGGTCTCGTTAGCGGTATATTGTTTTTTAGTTACATGTCTATTGCATGCGCAGTCTACGGGTTACTCTGTGGGACAATAGGGTTTCTGACTGCGTACGCCTTTGTGCGACGTCTATACGGGTAAGCAATACCTCAAATCCTTATTTAACTTGTCATCGCGAAGACAACATTAAGCATGCAGCTTCTAACAACATTTAGTGCCATTAAGTTAGATTAAGCTTGGAACTAGCATACAAGATAGTATTACTTGCAGGCGTATTAATCTTTACTAAAAGAGACAATAGCACAATAAAATTGCTCTAAAATTTACCACGGCAAGTAGTCTCTGGTAAAAATTCAGTCAATTACAAACCTCAATTTCCTACTTTACCTGAATTTAAATAGAAATTAGTCTTCAGCGCCTACTTAACGATGCCGTCAATCATCGACCTAGCGTTTAAAAATTAGATTAGACATGGCTTACTCGAAATTAATGTATATGTATCTCCAAAGCTCAATTGTGAAAATCTATCGTTGTTCGTCTCTTGACTGTCATGGATATGTTTGTTTATATAAGCTGCAGGCTGACTAAAGTTAGTTTATGCTCACAACAGGGGAAAAAAATACAAGATAAAAATAAATTTGGGGGGAAATAAAAACATAAAGATCTAATCAAGCCTCGGAGCATTAATTTTGAATGATAACTCAATGGAGTTGAATGCAAAATTGAGGTTTTATATCTAATTTTGAATGGATTAGAGATGCAAAATTATGATGGACCCACTCCATGGCCCAATATTGCTATCAAAGACGAATTTTTCACCTTCCAGCTGTGCTGGTGTAAGCGCTCAGTATGATCTATATATCTAGGATAGGTAACAAGAATCCCATCAGATTTCCTTATTTCGACAGGAATTGCCAAGTAGTCTCGTGCTCTATATCGTTTTTATCTCTCAGCATAAGCTCTTAGCTATAGTATCAAGAAGCTAACTAGGATCGAAACTTCATCGTACGATCATATTTCTGGTCATGGGGGAGAAACTAGCCGATGGGTTTCCAGAGAAGACCTAGCTCCTGATATGGCAGTGGTGGATTGGATCAAGTTGGCCGCTTTTTTTACAAGGAATAATGAAGTAGATATAAGCACCTCGTCTAGCTGGACCCATAGGTTTTTTTGAGAATTTTCTGCGTTTACATTTCCATTGCTTCCTTTCATTTTTTGGATAAGAGGTTCTGTGGAAGAGGGGGCCAGACTATTCTGTAAGATATTGAGCTAAATAACTGTCCATCATGGGCATTACATCAGATTTAATAAGGAAATAATAAACCCTCAGTCATTGAGGTTGGAGAGCGGATTTCTCCAACTACCAGTGTAAAGCTAAGTACGTGATTTTTATTCACCTGTGTATCGAAAACGGGACGTAGATAATATTCCCAATTATTCTAAATTCTGATAAGACACCTCTTTTGTAAAAAAAGAGTACAGAAGCAATGTGTAAGTTGTGACCTATGTCAGAGAGGAGCCCAATGTGCTTGATAGTTAGTCTCAAGAGGCACAACAGAGTAAAATGTTCGGAGTTCTGACTCTTGAATTTAGGACCCAACCATTATCTGTTTCGTCTCAGGTTCGCGATAAGAACGACTCTCTCTACACATGTCCCGAGTGCGCTAATCGCGCCTACCGTTGCATATATGTATATTTTTCATTTTTCCTGATTTGGCGCCTTGTGGCCCATACAGATTTTATCGGAAGATAGGTACTTTAAGTAGGATGACTCAACTTGACATTTAGAACACTCGCACTCAGATTTCATTTGCAGATACCACTCGAGGTTAACCCTCACGGCGTGTAACCTCTTCCGTGCATACCCGCCACGGGGAAAAGCGTGAAAAACCTGTGGCTATCCGAGTGTACTTTCATCATCCTACTATTCCAACATCACCGCGAGAGATAGTGGTGAGTGAGTCTGTAAGGATTCGAGCCAGCCTTCTCCTGTCTCGGATGGGGTGGGTGTTCAAGCTACCCTGTATCTACTTAGGACATCGGCCCGAATGGTGTACCACTGCACCATACATCCCGAAGAGAGAGATAATTGCTGTGAATATGTGTTTCACTTTATGAGAGACTGGAATCGAGATACATGTTAACCACCAATCGCTATCACTGCAGTAGAAAGCGGGTGAAATAAAAGCCCCCGAGTATTCCGACAATTATATAATTGGAGACTTGGGTGTCATGTAACCCTGTATAATCAATACTAATGAATATTACTGGTACTTAGCTATGAACAAATGGTCTCTTCCCGTCCGCTGTTCATGTCTAGAAGATCCACACTAGGTGTCCTGAATCGTTATCAACTTAACACTTTACCCAGATATCTATCCCGATGACAGATCCCGACAGCCAAGTGTTTATTTTTGTTTATTGTGCTACTTGAGTCTACGACTATCTAGAACCTAGGGCTCCTCTCTGACCCAGGCCACATCGACAGCCAAGTAATAACATGATTCATGCATTCTTTACCTTCTTCTAGCATTTTATGTACGGCTTTTTAACACCTTTTTATAAGTACGCATTAGGCCCGATTTAGCCCCTAAGCAATTTCATTTCCAAAATCCTTGAGACCCTGGTCGAATTATGTACAGATAGCAACCTTGTCATCGTCATGCACCCTTCTATTAAAAATGGATAATCGTTTAAAAAATGTTGATGTTTATACATCGGTTTTAAGCCTGGTTATCAAGCCCTCGGTCGTCTAGTTGGTTTATGGCGTCCGGCTGTAACGTCTACTGCCACCGGAATGTCGCGCGTTCGACTCGCGCCTGAGGGATGCGAAAAATTTTTGCCCCACGCATCGTTAGATTTTATTCTCTGTCCAATTTATTTACAACTTCGTGTGCTCTACGGCGATAGTGGAACGCGTAACTAAAAGATATGTGTGGATTTAGCAGTCCATCTAAGAGTCTTAATTTCTTTTCCTTTCTCGGCCCTAGGAAACATGGTACATGTGTACGAAAACTCAGCACCTGTCGGTGGTATTCCCTACGAGCCTCCAGCTCTCACTGTAGGGTCTACAGAGCCGAGATTGAGTAACAAAGTCCTCATTTCGACGAGGATTCCCAATCGCATTTGCAGTATGTATCGTCTTCATCCTTAAGCACATCTGTTCGGATTAGGTCCTGGTCAACGATGTCTAGCCTAATTGTGCTATGTTGCAGGCTACTGTTACAATTATTCATGGGGTCATCATCGGGGTTGTGAGTAGTTTCGGTTTTGGTGTGGGTTGTTAGATTGATACCTAAGCGTGTCGCATAGTAGTCAGACATGCGACTCGAGTAGCATATGCACGGTAAACCTCAACCCCAAAATGATGATACGAATCAGGTTTTACATGCTACGTCCTGTATGGCTAGCGTAGTTGGAATATGGGGAATTTACCTGTAGATAGATAAAGACGTTGTAGTCCTCTGATAGTTGGGACAAGTCTTCTACAATATTATATCGGAATCAAATCTAGCCACTCATTAAGCAATCTCATGAATTATTTCCAATGTCTGTGATAACAGACATACATATACAATATCAACAACACGTTCAATGTCGATAAGTTATGAGCCCGGAAACTGTCGACAACAAGTTTAAAGTCGATAAACATCCCCCTATCACTATTATCATGAAGCCAACCACGATCAGATCAGATAGTAGGGTCAAAGCCCTACTCATCACCAACCCTTGGTCATGGAGGAAAAGCCATCCGATGAGTTTCTGGAGCGTACTCAGCACCCGATATGGAGATGGTGGATTGGATCAAGTCGGCCTGGACTGTTACAAAGAAGGAAGATACAGATAAATATGCGCACCTCATGTGGTCCCGGTGTCTGGGTCTCTTTTTTTTTTGCATCAGATTTTAATTGTGTATGCAGCTATCTAGCTATGACACAATATCAAAGAAAGTACAGAAAAGATGACTCAATTTACAAGAGGAGCACTCATGCCTCAGATTTCATTTGCAAGTACCACTGCGAAGTTATGGTGGCTTTTTCTTCACCCTAAGTCAACCGTCATCCGTGAATACCCACTCAGGGGAACGTCTCAAGAACCCGGAGTTATCCAGACATGCCTCCATCATCCATAAACTTTTCTCAGCGCGAAATATCATCTGAGGTGTCTCCTCCGCAGGTAGAATAGATGCCCAGGCTACTCACACTATACCCGAGAACACGACCCGAAGACAGACCTCTACATCTTCTATCGTTGGCTTATTTTTATAGTGTCAGCTACACTCTCGCAAACGAAGTCTTGGCGTGCATAAAGCTCAACTCGTAAAAATCTTTACCAAAATTCGGAATTTCACGCCCGTCGAGTTTATATCCTTTCTTCACATCATCTTGTGAACTTGTCCTGATCCCTCTCACGTCCATCCCAAAAAACTTTCTCCAAGATTTGTGCGACACACTTTGCTTCCTCCGTCGGGTGTAAATATCGGCGCGGGCGTGTATTTGGTGTTCCTATCGAACCTTTTGAGCTGGTTCGGAAGCTTCGATGATTGAGACTAGAGGTATCTGGAAGAATAGCTCGCACAGGAGCTTTAAATTGAAGTGAAATAAAAAGATGTAATTGTCTGTCTGTCTATCTTCCTTCCTCTTTCTCTCAGCTTATATATCTACACGTATCTACTACCTGACATATGATGATAATATCTAGAGATAGCTTCCTTACATCACAAGACACAATCCAAATATGCTGCAGCCAAGATATAATCCTAAAATGACTTAATACCAGTCCACCACGTCTGTTACACGGACGCCAAGTATTTTCTAGCTGAAAATTAACCAAAAATCCAAGGTTTTCCTGAGGCGATCACAAATTATGTCAGGTACCAGCTTGGAATATTATTCTGACAATAATATTACGATCATGTTAGAAGAAAAGAATTTACATGAATCACGAAACATTGAGTCAGGAATACGAATTCCATCGGGCTCTGATACTGGTCTTATAGTTCCACTGAGGCCAGAGAATAGTTGACGAGAGGTGTGGTCATTGGGATGAGGATATACATGGTCTTAATTTTAGACTTGATGAGGCTTGGTTAGGAGTCAAACTCGTTGGAAGTGAAAATTTGACGTGGTGGAGTAATTTGT